TCCCCGCCGGATGTGCTCCGCGGCGGGATTTTGTAGACGGCGACCTCGCGGACCACGAGCAGCGTGTGCTCGAACGCCTCCTCCTCGTCCTCGAACGACATCGTTTCGGGATCGAATTGGGGGCAGGCAAAGCTTCGAGCTTTGACGGATTCTTATCAGCAATGCGGGTGATGATTGGGAAATTTTTTTTTTTTTTTGGTTGAGGAATTTCAAACTATGGTGAGAGAGTTGGGGGATTGAATTTGAGGTGAATTTGGGACGAATTTGACGTGAATTTGAAGAAATGGTGATGTGGGAATGAAGGTGGGGGGAAGGTTTCAAATGAGAGTATGCAGAAAACGTGGGTTCGAAGGAGAGTGCTTGAAAGGTCAACTGGATTGTCTAATGGAGACGGCATAATATTACCATTTTGCCCTTATCCCCTTACCCTTTTGGGCTGGCCAAGGCCTAAGCTTGGCTTGGAGATAAACTGAAATCAACAGTTATTTGTTGGTGGTTTCCATTTTCAATTTCCCAAAAAGTCGAAACCAATAAACATTCTCCACAGAAGCCCAACCAATATCTGCAAAGCACATCTGTTACAAAAATTCACCTCTACGAATCCCTCTTTTTAACTCTATAAAAGAAAAGTACACAGTCAGATCAGTTGGATAAGGTAGTATCAGCCTCTTTGCACTCGAGTCCCAACCTCTCTTTTCGTGCATCAGAGTAGTTTAAAATATCGCTATTGTCAACAAACAAAACTCGATAATAGAAAGAAGCCTACCTCATTCTAACTTTTTATTTATTTATTTGAATCTCCTGGCCAAAGCCTAAGCCCTGGTTTTCAACTGTAACAACAGAGAAACCTAGGTTCCTATATTTTTGTTAAACCAACCTCTAAAACTTGATCTTATCTAAATTATGACAATTTTGTTGAACAAACCTCCAAAGCTTGATAACTATCTACTAGCTTAGATTAGTTGCAATTTCCACATAGCCAATCACCATTACTATTCTCTAAGGACTACATAGCTCCCCACAAGGTCATAACATAAGGACCCTTAAATTGATTAAACTTAAGCCTAGTTCTAAGGGAAGTTGACTCCCAACCCAACCTATCATCTAGCAGGCTTTCCTTCCTTGACTTTGTTGTGGCCTTATTTGCATTAAACTAGTCTTTGAGAGGTTGGGCTTTGTGGCCCAATAAGGAAAGCAAAAATTAATTCCAAGGCACTTTGGTGCTCAAATTAACAATTATTACAACTTCTTGAAAGAATTGTTTCTCACTCACCCAAAAAAAAAAGAATTGTTTCTCATAGGGTTCGAAACCAAAACCTGTTGGAAGCGCTTTGTGGTTAGGGACAAGTCAAATCCCGAGTGGGGATTAATCTAACCCTTTGAGTGTGGGGATAAATAGCCATTCTTCCCTTCTTAGAGTCAAATTACTGTTGACATATATGCATAAAATTTTATTTTAATATTTTTATGGGGCGTTTTTGTATATTCGTAAGATTGCGATTTGCTGGTCTCGTAATTTGATTTAGTATTTCATTGGACTTGTTGGGGCTTCAAATTCTAAAAGAACTCTACGTCTGAGGTTCATATTGGCCCAAGCCCAACATCTCAACAAAAGCAAAGGATTTGGGCTTGGTTTTTATCTTCAACAACCATAGAGGGGCACTTTTGGAAAATCAGCCCAGCCTATATCTTCTGGAAAACCCCCATCTTCGCCAGTCTTAAACCCTAGCACGAACAAATAACCAGAGCACCTTCACCTCCGCCTACACTTCGAGCAGGTACGAATTTAACATATTTGACAATTACAAATTATTATCTTTCCCTGCGAATTTATAATGTCAAAACCTCTAAGTTCAAGATCGCCGAACTCTTTTTTAATAAAATCGAAAATTTTATCAGCATGAATAACTGTTGTGAAATATTCAGTGTGTTAAGTTCTATATGAGAATCTGTGTCGGAGTTTCATGCATCATTGCTTTGATCTTCAGCAGGTTGAAGAAGAAGCGCCAACATGTATCTCCAGTACTACATAAACGAGAATGGCGACAAAGTCTACACCACTAAGGTTTGTGACGATGATTTGCGATTTAGCTCCTTGTTTAGAGCACATTAGCTAACATATTCGACAAACCCACTTGTCAATATTTGAATTTGATGTGTTTTACTTGCTCTTCTGTATGCAGAAAGAATCACCACTGGGGCTTCCCACTCAATCTGCCCATCCGGGTAAGAACAAAATCAGTCTATTGAAGTTGGCTGCAACCTAGTTGCAGCTTTGTTGATTGTCTGACTGTGATTTCATAATGATTGTTATGTTGTTAGGATATCATGTCCTGTTGTTCCGTTGTCGTGCTGTCACGTAAAGATGTTAGTGTTGTTAAGTTGTCGATAAACTAATGCCATTTGGGGTTCTTGAATGTTTGCTGCTTGCTAACATGACAGTAGGAAACAGCTGAAATGAACGGTAGTCCTAAGTTCTTTGCAGGTTGTTTTCTATGAATCTATCAGAAAGTTCTAGATTGCTTGAGATTGTAATCTTCCAAGGGACATGTTTAGTATCGTTGCATTTGTGAACGCAAAATATAAGATTGCAAAGAACTTATGTCTTCTCTGTTGGGTTCCAAATTAAGTTCCAAGAAAATCAATGTTTTGCTCCGAATGGTTGCATTCTGTATGTAGTGTGTGCTGCTGTGGAGGAAAATGTTTTCGTGATGAGTTTTGATGTTGATGATTTAGTTGACTTTTATTTACTCAACTCTGTGAAATTTGGCACCAGATTGTTCTGGAATACGGGTGTTTTCTAATTTTAATTGGAATGATTTGGAAGTGTTTGAGATGATATAGAAAGTATACTAAAGAATCGTTTCTATTAGCACACTACTTGAAGGAGAGAGTTGTGTAATGATCTGTCGCTACCAGTCTTCTGCATAATCTTCCTTGGAAAAGGTTCCCAGTTTTCTTGTTGTTACTAATCTGTTTCTTTATTCATTATCAACTGCAGCCCGCTTCTCCCCCGACGACATGTATTCAAGGCAAAGATTTCTCCTGAAGAAACGCTTTGGGTTGTTGCCGATCCAGCAGTCACCTCTGAAGTATTAGATACTTATAAAGGTTCAGCTGCTTTCAAGGGTTTCGTTTGAAGTGTCTCGGACTTTAGGGTTTTACTAGGAGTGCTATCTTGTTGGACCTTTCTATTGGGGACTGTAACTGGATATGTCTACCGCTAGTATGTAAGCAGCACAAATGGTTGTAGACTGGTTATGTGTTAAGTTTTGGAAAATGTAGTAGATTTCTATGAATATGCTTTGCAAATTTACTTTCAACCTTCATATCTACTAAAGTTTGTGGGTAAAGCTCTCATATCTACCCAAATATATCCATCCACTTAAGTATATTGGGTTGTCGCACCCTTTACGTTTTCCTCTTCTTCTCTCTATATTTTTTCCTTTCGATTTCACTTTTTTTCATATGGAAATCCATTTTGAACCTGCTGGGTTAGAAGATGTTTCAAGTTTGAAGAATGACGGAAAAATTCGAAAAAAAAAAGGTTGAGAATAACTTCGCATAACAAATTAAATAAAACTAGATTAGTTGGATGTTAAATTAGAGGACTCTTTTGTCCCAGAATGCTAAAGAAGACAAAAAGTAGTTGCTCAAAATACAATGACATGCCCCAACCAATCAGAAGATCGGATTGTTAATTTATATGCAAGAGAGTAAAAAAGAAATTAAAAAAGAAATTAAATATATGCATGGGCCTCCATTTCCTGATGGAGTGAAGTCAAAAGTCAACAAAGCCCAAAACACAATCGGCCTCCAACCAAACCCACTAAAACGGCCTCCAGCTTCCCACTCCTCTCTCAGTCACTCACTACGCAGCAGTCGTCGCGCCCAGAGACTCACCACACTGACCAACTTTCCAACGCTTTCAGTACGTTCTTCCTCTCTATCTGAAACCCTATCGTCTTCCAGATCGCGTACTTGCCTACATGCATAAATGTAGGCCTCATTATATGTATCTGAAGCTGTTGACTTTGCTGCTGTTTCAGGTATGGCTACCAGAAACCTCGGGGGATTTCTGGTGCTGATTTTGGCGATTGCGATCTGCGAAGCTGCTTCCGTCTTCCAGCCGATCTCTGACTCTCACCGATCCGCGGCCTCTGAGCTCTTCACAGCCACCGATGGATCCTTCGGGAGGTGAATTAAACCCTTGAAGAAATGATTTCTCTGTTTGGTTCCTGTGAATATGAAACGATGTGGATATGATCATTTGTATGATCCAATTGAATTAAAACGGATTTGTTTCGTTTTTTATGTGTCGTCACCCCTTACAATTCTGAGATTTGAAGTTCATGTTTCGGTTATTTTCCTACATTTTAGTCGAAATGCGTCATTAAGTTTTGATTTTGGTTGAATTCGATTTCATTTGCACGATTAGATTAATTTGGATTGTAACTATATTTAATTCCATTTGTTTTGACCTTGCAAGCAAGTCCAATAATTTAATCTGAAAGAAATCTAACTATTTGATTTCGTAAATTTTTGACAGTTTAGAAGAGGCATATGAAGCCCTAAGATCGTTTGAGATTCTTGGGATTGATAAAAAGTCTGATATACGCACTGCTACTTGTCAGTCGGTTGTGGACAAACTTGGGTCATCGTCTTCTGCCCCAAAGGATTTGTTTTATGCCTTAAAGGTTAACAGCATTTTGAAATGCAAGGTGAACGATAAGATATTTGAGGTATGGTTGAGTCTCTAGCGCTCTTTCTTTGTTCTCAGCTTGAAAGCCATTGCTTATGAAGCATGTGGCAAAATACTGCAGTTAGTGCTTAATTCTATTCTCCATGTCTAGGGCATTGCTGCAAGACTTAACGCTATTGCCAATACTGCAAGTTCATTGCTTGACTTCTACCACTCAATCGGAAGCTTGGTACTTATTAAGGTAAATTATTGAACAACTACCTCTTGGCTGCACTGTCCAACTCAGGTTTATATTTTCCTTTTGGTTTGAAATCTTAAGTTTAGCTGAAGATTCAACATATAGCAGTGGCGATTAAGAAAAAAACATTCAACCCTGTGCAGGGCAAATATGATATTTTTAAAAATGTCACTATTTTAATTGTTACAACTGTTGTGCAATGGTCTCATTTTTGTGTTTCTTAGAGGGCTTTATATCTTTGAATTATTAATTCTTTCCTAATATTTTTTTTCTTGCTTTAGGATCAAAGTTCTGAAGTCGATGTACTTCTTGCTGATGCTGGTGGAATTTTCCATTCTATCAAGGTTGGTTCCAGCAGCCACTAATGGTATTTCTTAGTTGAAAAAGGTTCAGTTTTGACTATCTCCAGGTCCTGGCAGAACTTGCTATGTCAGATAAGGCTTAGCATCTGGTGGCACTTATTTTTTCTTGTAATGTTGATGCGGTGTTCTGACTCCGACCTCTCAATTATTTTCTTTTGCTTTGCAATTTTTTTCTTCTTCATCCTTTTGGATGTCTCTCGCAAGAAAAATTGCTTTGTTGAATGTCTGAGTAATGGTGAAATATTATTGCAGTCTCTGAGCCAGAGTGATGGAAGGTGGCGTTTTAGTTCTGATAATCCCGAGTCTAGTACCTATGCTGCTGGTAATGAGTTTCTATGAATCATTTGAAAGCTATGCTGTTTCTTTTCTCATGGCTGATTTTTTCTTATTAAGTGGTAATTATTTGATAACAGAAGCGGGGTTTCCCACTACACACCTAAATTCCTTCCCTACCATTAGTTGAATCTGAGATCTTTATTCAACTAGAGAGGATTAGTAGCCCCTGGTTACGATGACTAATATTTGTTTTACCATCAAATTTAAATCTTTGCTAAACATGGTATTGATTATTAGTAGGTATGTGGCTTATATTCACTACTTGAGCTTGGCATCCCTCTTGCAGGATTAGCACTTGAAGCACTTTCGGGGGTTGTCTCATTAGCATCTTCCGAAATTGATCATTCCAAGGTACATTCGTTAGCTTGCTTAAATAAGCACCAAACATAAGCTTCATATGTTTTTAAATCTAAAATTGAACTTTTTTGGGCCATTCATATACTTGAAGAAATTTCCATACCGATTCGCACGCTGAATTATGAAATTTTGGTCCTAATTGGGATACTTCACACACTGACCAAATCATTACCAATATCTGTGGACCTATTTTTCCGTTCTATTTAGCTTTTATTTTACTTTTTACATATCTGCGTAGTAAGGCTCTATGGATCTTATTAGTATACTGTAATTCTTCTCCCTGTTTTTGTAATATTGTTATTTTAACTTCATTTTGTTAATATTCAATACTGTTGTCTTTGGGCAGATCAGTACATTGAAAAGTGATATTTTGAAGCTTTTTGACAGTGTTGAGAAATATGGTATGTGGTTTTTTTCCCAACATTAGATGTCTTCTTATATGCTTCTTTCTTTTTTTTAAATATTTTTCATCTCTTGCTTTATAAGTTGTAAATAGTTTTCAGACCCACATATGTAATCTAAATTTGCATAATATATTGCAATCCATGGTTCATGACCTTCTTTGAAGTTTTAAATCAACACATTTTACCAGGGCTGTGGTGCAAAAACGTTGGTGATGATGGGTCATAATTTGGGTCAAGTGGCTTTAATAGCATCTCTTGTCAGGATGGGATCATGGAACTTTATGTTTTTGTAGTATACCCAAGCAAGTTTTGCATGATAAGGATGGGTTTGTTAGCCTGCATGCATTTTGATGTGTATGTGTGTTTGTGCATTTCTGTGAAATGCCATTTGTTGTTGAAGTTTGAATGCACAACACAACCTTGCCTAAGTTTAAAACATGTTGATTAATATTCTTCCGGCCCTGCCTTCAGTTTGGTTTTGTCATTTCATTTTCTGGTTAGCTGTTATTTTAATAAAATATATAACTACATTCTCTAGATGATGGTGCCATTTACTTTGATGAAAAAGTTGTTGATCTTCGTGAGCATCAGAGTCCTCTTTCAACTACTGCGTCAGTTGTTCGAGGACTGACAGCATTTGCAGCTGTGACATCTGGGAACATAAAGGTGACTGGAAGCATACTCAATGTTGCATTCTTTCCTGCTCTTCTGTTACAAATGCATTTTCTTTTGGGAGTGGGGGGCTGGTTGGAATGCTTACTAATGCTTTAGATTTGAGTTTGCAGGTTCCAGGGGACAAAATTTTGGGCCTGGCAAAATTCTTCCTTGGAATTGGCATTCCCGGCAATGCTAAAGACTTCTTCAACCAAGTGGACTCATTAGCTTCTTTGGAAAGCAATGAGTAAGTTCTATTTCTTCTTCTTTGCTTGAATTACATCTCCAATTATATTGCATTTTGTTACTGTGTATTGCAGCCTTTTAAATTCTACTTTTAATTTATTGTCTACTAAATTTTGGTTGTTACTTTTCTGGTGCAGGGTTGCTATCCCACTGATTTTATCACTTCCAGCTACAGTGCTTTCATTGACCAGAAAAGACCAGCTCCAGGTTTCTCAATTAATCAACACAGTATTTCTTATTTGTAGATGATTGTTGAATCATCAATTATTCCTCCTTTCTTTTCCTTCTTGTTGTGAGGTAGATATTTGAATTGAGCAAAAGTTGTATTATTTTCTAACTTTATGCATAGCTATGTCTATATATATTAATAGTCTTGTGAAATCTGCACTGTTTTCTTTTCCTCAAGCTGACTATCTTTGTCTTCTTTTTAAAACGCCAAGCTCCTCAGTTATGATTGCATTATTTTCTAACATTTTGATCTGCTCATATTCAGTATTGCATCAGCCTGCTGTGGATTAATTATTTTATTGAGGAGAATATAGAGTTAACAAGTAATGTTGTTTATACCAAATCGTGTACTTTGGTTAATTTAAGTGTTGGTTTGTACTTTTGAAATTTTGATCAGGTTAAAGTGAATACCGTGCTTGGTTCAAGTGCACCTCCTCTGACAGTTAAGTTGGTGCGAGCATTGAGTTCTGGTTCGAAAGTTGCTTCCACAATTGAAAGCCAGGTAATAACTTCTTTTTCTTGTTGTATCTAGTTTATCTGCAGTTCAATAGTCACAGATATCCTTCCTCTGAAAATATTAGTTTTATTTATCCTCTTCTGACAAATTGATTGCATGGATGGCCTCTGGTTCAATGCCTTATAATGTGTGTGATGTAGGAACTCAAGTTTGACAAAGAAAGTGAATCCCATTTCTTGGATGTGCCAAAAAGTGTTGATGTTGGAAATTACATATTTGTCTTTGAGGTACTCTTGATTTCTTTGGTTAATTTTACATTTGGACTAGCTTCCATTTGGCTCTCAATTTGTAATGAGTTAACAAAGCTTTTTGTAGGTTGTTCTGCATGATTCTGAAGATGAAAAAGTTTATGCAACTGGAGGCTCTACTCAAGTGCAGATATTTGTCACAGGAGTTATCAAAATTGAAAATGCAGAGATTGTTGTACTAGATAGTGATGTCGGGAGCATAGAAACCCAGAAAAAGTACGTGCTTGAAATTTTTTATGGTTCATGTTTCCAGCTTTAGTTTATGTTCTTCCGTTGGAAGTTGGATGCTTATAATCACAAACTCGTGTTTCATAATTGTTACATGTCCGCAATTGTGCCTATTCCATTCTAACACGTTCTAAAGCATATAAATCTTTTGTTACTTCTACATCATTCATTTACCAGGCTAGATTTAGCTGGAGAAAATTCGCTCGCACTATCTGCAAACCACCTCCAAAAGCTGCGCCTATCCTTTCAATTGACCACTCCTTTTGGAAATGCATTTAAGCCACATCAGGTTTGTAGTTCTCCATGCCTGCTTCTTAAGTTATCTTCTCTCTGTTCAGTTCATTTAGAAGTTTGTTGGGCTGCAGGTATTTTTGAAGTTGAGACATGAGACCAAGGTTGAGCATATCTTTGTGGTGGGGAACTCCGGCAAAAAGTTTGAGATAATACTGGTAAGTGCTCCCTTGGAAACCTAGAATTTTAGTTCATCTATTTAGCTGATACTCCTCATAAGCCAATGATTAATGTCTGAACACTTGAATAAAATGAATACTCAGTTTTCACCATCTTGGATGGATTACCCATTTTAATTCCTTTGTTTTGCTAATTTTTGGTATTTTGTTTTTCAGGATTTTCTCGGACTAGTTGAGAAGTTTTACTATCTTTCAGGTAGTTATGACATTCAATTAACTGTTGGCGATGCTGTAATGGTAAGCATTACTTTAGCTCAAATTTTTCAAAATGTTTATAATTTCTACCCTCTGATTATCTGAGGAATTTTTGTCTTCTCTTCCAGGAAAATTCTTTCTTCCGGGCTATTGGCCACATTGATTTGGATCTACCAGAAGCACCTGAAAAGGCATCCCGCCCTCCTACACCGGCCATTGATCCTTACTCAAAATATGGCCCCAAAGCAGAGATAAGCCATATCTTTAGGGTTCCAGAAAAGCGTCCTTCTCAAGAGCTCTCTCTTATTTTCTTGGGTCTTTTGTTTTTGCCACTGATTGGATTTTTGGTTGGGGTGAGTATTTAGCGAATCCATATTAGATTGTCATTTGGCCTAGAAATTTTTAACATTTTATGCTCTGATATCTCCCTTGGAAAATCTAAAGAGTTTAACTAGATTGTGCTGTTTATAAACAGACATTCTCTAGTGTACAAAAAGTCCAAAAGAGACATGGGGGGATGTCAACATTTTAAAATGTTTGCCTATTTTGTACTTTGGTAGTGGGAAATCTTTGTTAACCTTTTTTTATGTATTAAACAGCTATTACGCTTAGGGGTGAATCTGAAGAACTTCCCTACTTCAGCAATACCAGCCACTTTTGGTATCCTATTCCATGTCGGCATTGCAGCAGTTCTTTTGCTCTATGTGCTTTTCTGGTTGAAGGTATGCCATTGATTTGTCTTAACTGTAACTTTTCGGAAGGGAATCTACATCACATTCCCAATGATCTGGACAATCCCATTTTTAAGCATTACAGGGTCACCTGTTCTAGAAAGGGAAATTACATTAGCATATTTAGTATTTACAATAGTGAGATTGCGAAGTAATTATGTTATACACTTGCTGAAGAAGATTTTGGCTTTTCAATGCATTTTAAAGTAAATAGGTTTTTTTTCCTTGCACATTGATTAAGCTTTTCAAACGGCTGGTCTGCTTACTAGTTTGTTCCCATGTACAGCTGGATCTATTTACGACACTGAAATGGCTTGGACTGTTGGGAGTTTTCTTGCTGTTTGTGGGACACAGGATTCTTTCCCATCAGGCCTCTACATCAGCCAAGTTGAAATCTGCTTGAAAGAACGAAAAAACTTGAAGAAATCTCCCGTTTAGAGAAATTGAAAGGATGTTGGACCTGAAAAGAGATATCAGAAAGATGAGGAGATTTTCCTTTGGAGAGAGAAACAGAGGGTGGCACTTTTTAGAACAATTTTGTAGGACTCCTTGTTATGTTATACCTGTACCTCTTACTTTAGAATTTTTATTACCCATAACATAAAATCGTATATTTATTGCAAAATGAAGTTGTACCCACGGGCTTAATATTTCCCATCCTTGATATAACTTTGACATATCAAAGGTTCATGGCTTGCAAGGAACTGCATCAATTTACATCTCTCTTAATGATTATTTTTCTTTTGCAGTCTCCTTTTATAATCTGCCTATAAAATAGGGATAAATTGGCTAAATCTTAACGGGTATTACATGTTCTGCCAGACTTGAGATCCGGCTTGATGAAAAGATTTGGTTTAGTTCTCTAATTACGTTCAAGTTAATCAACATGTTGATCCAACGATTCACCAAAACCTGTTGATAGCATTATTATTGGCCTCTACTTTTCTCCAATTAATGGCAGAAAGTGTATCTTACAATTTCCCAATGAATTATAAAATAGAATGAAAAACATATCGGTGACCTTTCTGTGTGCCAATTAGAGGAACAAAGAAAATTGTAAAAAAATAAAAACAGATCGAACATGAGCAAATGCAACAAAATTATAAATAAAACCAGCACCACCGAAAGGCCAGTGAAATGCCGGGATCATATCGTGCTCAGGCTATTCTACATTCCTAAAGCTCTCGCTTGTACGCCAAATCTTTTTCTGGACAATAAACACTACGTCATCATCTTGCTCAGAGCCTCCCTCTGCATCAGCAGTGGCCACTGCTTCCCAGTGTAATGCCTTCATATATTTGTTTATGAACTCCACCACCTTCCGCTTGTCACGGACAATGACGAAACCTTTGGGCCGGAGGATGCGATCCATCTCAATCAACAAATCTACGCCACTGCATCCTTTCCTTTCAATATCAGAGAAGAGAGTCCATGCATGAAGCAGATCATAGGTTCGTGGGTAGGTTGAGAAAGCTTCACACCTGCCACAAGTTTGCAACCAATGAAGATATATCAATGTTTTGATGCAAAGCTACAATGTCGAAGAAAGTTGATATCATGTCCATACGTAAGCCTGAGAACATCTCTAAAAACTTTTTAAGGTAAAGAAGAAAACTGTATGTGGCAGCAATGGCAGCATAACTATATAGGTGGGAATTTCTGCAATGCCTTCGAAACACCAACGACCACCAACGGTTTAAAAATCAAATATGTTTCTGATCAAACTTTTCATTAACTTATCAAAATTGTTAAACGTACCAACTGTGTACTGTGCCTATCAGCCCTCTGTCGTATATTATTTTAAGTGTGTTGGGTCCGTCTTCTGGCACCACATTCATAACCCAAACATCTTTGTTCTTCAAAGCAGCTGCAAATGAACCCAAGTTTGCCTTCATGTCCATCACATTCCTCAGTGTGTCAGAATTGATCTTCGGGCTCAAAAGATTCCAGTAACTGTCAACTCTTTGCTGCCAAACTTCCTGCATCACATCAATCCTGTCATATACCAAGTATTTGTATGTCTGTATTTTTGCAAACTTGGATATTACCCAGGCAGAGCAGACATGAGTTATGCACAGAAAACAAAAAACAAAAATTGTGAAGATTACCATGTCCTTTTCAAATATATCATTAGAAAAGCCAAAATCACCAAGACGGGGAGACGGTGAAGTCAATCGAGCAGGCCAAGGAGCCAAACCACTTCCTTTTGCTCTATGGTTTTCTGAAATGAAAACACCAGCAAAATTTATTTCAACTAATTAACTGAAGTTATTACCACAGATGATAATGCAACACAACAAGAGGACGCATATTAAAGTAAAAGCCAGTAGTGTCTTTCTCTTGCCAAAATAGCCATACACAGAAAAGCTCTTGGTGCATGAAACATGATAATTTCTTTAGTAAAACACTTTTATTTGACATTATAACAGTTCGAAATCTTATGAGAGATGAGTGTTGGATTGAGGGGAGTTGGGTTATGGTGCTTTCAAGTTGAAGACTGGTTAAAATGATACAATTTTTGAAAGAAAAAACATGATAAAAAAAAAAGGGGGCTATTTTAGTTCAGTTTACAAGGTGCAACTTTATACTGAAAAAAAAAGAAAGAAAAAAAAAATCGATATTAAATCACAGATACTGCAAATATTATCAATCTACAGTTCCAGGTGAGTCCGTTTTCTAAATTAATAATTCTCAAATTCAATTAACTAACATGTGATTGACTTGAAGAAAGTTCTGGCTTGTTGCTTTGAGATTCCCCAAAACCACTAACAAAGCATAGAGATTATGGCAATAATTTAGAAAATGGAGGAAATAGTACTCACGGTCAGAGTATGGTGTGATACAAGGCTCCATTTTCACATTCCAGACAGCATCTGGATCATCATCTGATCTGCAGAGGGGTGGTTGAGTACCAGGCGCTCTTTCCATGTAACAGTCATTAGTCAATGGCTTGACCCAAATAACAGTTTGGTTCCTTTTAGCAGCTATTTTCCAACACATCCGTTCCACAAGCTCACTCATCGCTTTCCATATTCTCAGGTCCTCTTCATCCTGTGCATAGGCTTCAGGAGACGAGTAGGCAAAATAACCTCCTGGTCTCAGTACCCTATCCAACTCAAGGAGAAGTATCCCATCCCTTTGAAGCCAATCAATCCTACAGCGAGAACAATGTGCCAGTTCAAAAGATCTACTAGGATAAGGGAGTCTCTTGGTCCCTAAAACACCAAGGTATGCGGGAATCCCTCTCTCTAATGCAAACTGGATTTGATTTTGATGAACATCATTAGGTGCCAAGGACATTGCAATAATATCAGAAGAAAGCAGGTATCCTCCGAAACTAGCAACACCACAGCCAACATCAAGGACTGTCCTGACCTTTCCTCCATTATTTAAAATGTTCTTAGGAAAGTTGAGCATCTGCCAATCCAAACCAAAAGTAATCATTTTTTTATCATGAAAGAAAAAATTACAAACCTACACAATCTCTAATAACTAGTTACTTTTTCCCCCAGTATGAAGGGCCACTGACTTACATTAGCCATTGATGCGATGTACTTGTCAGCTCCGTAATGGAAGTGAGTACCTCCTCCAGGAAATCCAATCTTTTCACCTTTGACAACCATCCACTTTTGGTCAGACTTCTCAGTTGCAAGATGCGTGTGAGGTATATTTGCTTTCCACACCTCGTCCCTGCTTTTAGGCCACTTGATTGGGATCTATTTCCATAAAAACAGATGAAAAAATTCAGACTATAATTCAAGTCGAAGTTATAGTACAAAGTTTCCTCACTCAAAATTCCATTCGATATAAAGACTTAGGCAGGACCTCACCTTATATCCAGGTGGAGGTGGAATCAAACAATTATATCGCCTTTCAGGCAGTGGGCAGTGTCTCTCGTAATGCTCCATCACAGACAGATCCAACTTCAATCTTGTTTCGTAAATAAGGTTTCTGTCTAAGCAAGGAATGAGTTCTGAATGTCTATCATCACAAACCTGCAACATCAAAAACAGTCAGATAAAGACTTGGATTAGTTTAATATGTACATACTTATATAAGAGAACTCAGCCAAATTATTCGTTAGTATAAAGTGAAATGACAGAGGAAAAGTCAGCGAGGACAACTGACCGGTATGCTCTTCAATATAATACCATCCTCTTCATCTTCACCAAGTCTGGAAGGTGACTCCTCAACATCTTCATCCACGCCCAAGTAAGTAGAGCCAAATTTTCTTATTTTACTGCCATACTCCAGCGCAGAGGAACCATTTCTTTTAGAATACAAATACAGGAGACCACAAATGGCCACCAACACTAGAACTGAGGTGACCAAACGTTTCTTTGGGCTCCCATCAGCTCTTCCCCGAGACATTGTTGTAACCAATAAGACAATTACCCCTCTACTTTGACTTCAACATGCAGAGTTCAATATCAAGCTACAAGATGCCAGGTCCAGTTTCACTGCAAAGGGATGATCAGCCGATGTCTCACTTTAGATGCAGCTTCAATCACAAAATGAAAGTTTCAACTTGTTAGTTCCAACTTAATGAACTAGGTACCCCTTAGATTACAGATGCAATGCCGGAACAGAAAGAAAATGATCCACGATGCAGCAATAATTCAAACCTCTAAACATTAACAAATAAGATTAAGACCATTCGATTCATCACTTCAAGTAAACCCCACAGAAGTTCTATTTGGCTCTACTTTATTTTCCTAATAGGAAGGAAGACAACCCTGTAACTCAATTTAGTTAAACCGCAAGATTTGCAACAAAGAATCTATCATATTATAGGAAAGGGAAAAAGGTATTAACTGGTGATCTAAGATATTCTTTATTTCATTAATAAAAAAGAAAACCAGAAAATAACAATTAAAAGGTAGTGGTTGATACTCACAATCCGGCACCAGCCAAAAACCAAGTGAAACAAGTACAATAACAACTAAAACTCAATCACAGCCCACTAGAAATGAATTCAAATCTGACCCAGTTCATTCAAAGAGGAACAAATCTGGAAAAAGTACCGGAACCTGATTTGCATACATAGAATAAATGTCTGAAATATAAATGGTATATAAACCAATGGCACCAAACAAAGCATAAGAGTGGAGAAGAAGGAGGGTAAAAGCGGGAAAATAAAAATGTAAACATTATCATAGGCTAAGCACACCGACAGTTGACAGTTGCCAGCTATAAATGTGACACCTTTAACTTCAACAAACAAGATTTGACAGAGATTGATAAGACCCAGCTCGTGAAATCACAAAAAGGGTCGGCAATATTAACTCACACAGCTGAAAATGGTCGATTTGAATCTTATGCCGACATGAGAATTCTTACACATATAAGGAAAGATGGAGTTTTGGGCACACCAAAATCAGATCTCTATTCAAGAAACACAAACAGAACGAAAGTTGAAGATAAATAAAATTGGACAAAACAAAGACTCAAAATTTTCAATATGGGCATTGCAGAAACAGAGTAAGTAAGTGAGATTGCACACTGTTAATGGATCTGAAACGTACATGGGGCATCAGCCGATGTCTCACTTTAGATGCAGCTTCAATCACAAAATGAAAGTTTCAACTTGTTAGTTCCAACTTAATGAACTAGGTACCCCTTAGA